CAAACAACACACCCAACGCCCTACCTTAGCCACAACTCTCACGGGGACACATGCTCTTCTCTCAGAGGTCCGCACTTTGAACAGGAACCTGAGACCCACACTGCCGCCGCCTGCGCAAAGCCAACATCGACTGAACCAGCACGGTGGGAAGACAGGCAGCTCGCCCCTTTTTCACTCAAACTCTGCTGCTCCCTGGAATGTCTCAACTTTCTGTCGTCATCAAAAGCCCTGTGTTGGCAGGCTGGAATGCTACCTCTGCTGTTTCAACTTTCTATTATCAAAACCACAATCCCCCAGTCTGGGCTTCTTAAGGCCAGGCTTCAATTGCATCAAAACATTCCCCAGCGTTTGGGCTTCTCGTCGGTTTCAAGAGCAGGTGCCATCTCCCTGAGCAGAGCGTGCACGGATGGCGACGCTGCGCAAAACCGCTCATCCGCCTTAGTGGTGGCCTTTACATAGATGCAGTGGCCGCCTTGCGCCTTCACTGCCTGAGCTAGGTGTTTGCTGGTGAAACGTGCCATGAAGTCTTTGGACCTCACGCACTGGTGAAATGGAGCGTCAGCCACGCAGCGGGCCACCTCCTTGGCGGCCTTGGTTCCGTCAAATCCACCATGCGCATCGATGCCGAGGAAGCGTAGGATCTCCTGCTCCTGGCACATGGCAAGAACACGCAAAAAAAAAGGCGCAAAACACACCCGTCCTGCTCGCCCAGGGCTTCCTGCCGGACCTGCTCGATGGGCTGGGTTTTCAGGTTCTTGGCGAGCTCCTGCGAGAAAGGCTCCGCAAAAAAGCAGACACACACACATACACACCGCTTGACTCCGAGGGCCTCGAGCTTGCCCACGTTGCCACCACTGAGGTGCAGGAGCTCGGCCTTGTGCTCGACAGCCGCGTCTCCACCGTGGTGCTGGAGGAACTGCTGGGCCTGAGGGAGCATGCCAAACAAAGGAACGCGCTCGGCAAAAAAGGCCCCCGCCTCCGGCTGCTCGCACTCTTCTTCATTCAGCGATGCGATCTGGCACCGAACTTCCCGGGCATCGGCGTCAAAGCTCAGCGCCATGGAGGCGCTGCACGCCAAAACGATCACCTTCGCCAGTTCGGCGTCGTAGCCCAACATCTTGGCGAGGCCAGAGCAACTGGCGAGAACTTTCATCTCACTCACCTGCCGAGCAATTTCCAAAATGATGATGGGCACTCGGCCCAAGGTCTTTGCCGCCTGCTTCAAGGCCTCCTCGACCTCAACGTGGCCAGGGGCACCCAGCTGCTGGCGCAGCCTTTCTCCTGCGACCTCCTTGTCGCTGTCGAGCTTCACGTGGACGATGCCCTGGTGAAAGCCTGCCTCTCGGCATGCCTTGAAGACGGCGAAGCTCTTGCCGGACTGATGATTCCCCCAGATCAGCAGGGGGGAGCGATCAGCCAGGTCCAGCAACCCGCTGATCTGGGCCTAGCAAAACCATGGAGCGTTCAAAACAAGGCACACGGCTGCTGAGGACTTGCGCATGATGCCGGGCCTGGACGTGCTTGCGCGGGATTTCCACTTCGGGCTTGGCAGCATGGAAGGCGCTGTGGATCACCCGATTCATGATTCGATTGCGATCTATGTGCGCCTGCCACTGATCGTGCACAGTCACTGCGAGTGGCAAAGCACCACCGACCCCCAGCCCCGCGAGGATGGTCTTGACAGCAGGCATCATTGCTCGGAGGCGAGCATGCATCGCTACAAAGCTTCTGGGCAACTTGGACCTTTCCGTGTCTGCTGACTGAACACCAACTCTAGCCACAGTGATTCCAGGACAACTCTGACGCGTACACCGCAATGTGGGCAATGAGATATCTAGGAAAAGTACATGCAAAGAGATGCCGCCTCGTCCAGGAACTGCAAGAGCTCCGCACAAGGCCTCGAAAAGCGCTTAGAATTGGAAATACATCGACCGCCTTGGCCCAACACGATACCCACATTGAAACCACAGGCCTTGTCGAAGGGGCGCTCGCAAAGCTCCACATGAAATGGCTGCAGAAGAATTCAAACAACCAGCAAGCGTAAAAAATCCAGAAAATGCCCATGGGAAATCTTAGCACGGTCGCCAGATAATCAAATCAAACAACGGTTGCCTGGTAATATTTGCAGCAATTAAACAAAAAATCCGAAAATAACGGAATAAAAGCACAAATAAATTACGCT